AGGTAAAGGTAAAGGTTCCACTCACATATGTGCTAGTTGTTCCCAACTCTAGGGGACAGTGCTCATCTCCGTTTCAAAGCTGAAGAGCCAGCACTATCGAAAGACGCCTCCGTGGTCATATAGCCGGCATGGCTAAAAACCAAAAGTGCACGGAATGCTGTTACCTTCCCACCAAAGATGGTCTCTATTTTTCAACTTTCTCATCGACAAGCTGGGCGTCTTAGCCACTGAGCCACTGCGTTCCATTTAATTAAGGGAACACTTAATTAATTAAAAACTATGGCAAGAAAGGTGGGGCAAAATGGGGCAAAACTCACAACTGTCTTGCTTAGCAACATAAATGTTGGCTTCAATTGTGGCCGTAAGTCAAGGACTACCTGTATAAGTAAACCTTCCTTGATATAACCGAAACTTCCTAAAATAATTAAAACCCTGCAGTACAGTACAAAGAAGGCGGGGCCAACCACTAGAGGATGCTACTCCACCGCGGACAACACTGGGCGGAAACAATAATGAACGTCCAGCTCAGCCTATGAACTCAGCTTTGGTTTCCCGAGACAGCCAATGAAAAGCCGCAGGTTAAGCCCTTATCTAGCCAATCGGCTCTTTCCCTCCGGAGGGGATGTGGGAAGTATAAGCTCTACCTTTTCCTTTCCATCGTCATTAAGCTCATCACTGCAACACCGGAGGTTCGTTGAGTCAGGCGATGCTTCGGTGCCTTTAACGATGCAACGCGGAGCTTCCTCCGGGCCGGGTGGACCTGTATTGTGACGCGGGTTGAGTGTTGCAACGTTCTAGATTCTACAATCTGAACAGGAGGAGGAGTGTTTGGTTCGTGGTGGCGGCTACGCTGGGGTTGTGAGAGCCCCGTCCCCTGCTTCCCCCTCTGCCAGCCCAGCAAACTTTCAGCCATGCTGACCAAAGGATGAATTTAGGGGATCACGACCTGCTGTCTGCGCGGGAGCAGTTATTCCACGAGAGGGTCCGCGAGTGTATTGTGAGTACGCTTTGTTGATAACGATAACGCGAATTGAGGTGTCCCCCTCCCCTGGTTTTTTCCATGTAATTAGAATTTTAGCCTCGTTATTCCCAGTCGTTATTGTAATCCAACACCTTTGAAAAAGGGGAAGGTTTTGTATTTACCCCCCCCCCCCTCCTCGGTTAATAAAGACAAAAACAAATAGACTAGGTTAGCTACGGGGATGATGGTTTTGTCAAGGAGAGTGGAAGCATTAAGGGGAAAAAAAGAGACCCGGAATTTAGAGCTGAAGAGCAGTGAATGTCATCAGCCCTCTTGAATGGTAAAATTTGCATTCTTCTGTTGTCTTTTATCCAAGGTAATTGAAGAGGAATTAGGAAAAAAGCAAGCTATAGCTGAAAATGAACTGGAGTTGCTTGTTGCCAAAGACAAAAGCCAATCTGTGTGTTTACAACTTGGTGCCCTCCAGATAGTTATTTTAGACTGCACACATTGGCTGTGTTTATGCATTAAATCATGGTTGCCAAAACCAAAAGGCCATATAACTTATTAAGTCATTGTGTTGCATCATTATGCTTTTTTTGGCTAAGCTTGTAGTGTGAATATTAATCTTGGTTTAATGTTTAGCATTAAGTTTCTTACTAGATGCCAATTTGGGGAAAACTTTTTTTTAAATATCTGTTCTTCAGCCTTTCTTCAAGGACTTGGCAATAAGTTTATTTGCTAATAATGAAAAGAGTAATTAAAATATATAATTATGTGGCTTCTTTCAACTCCTATTGCACAAACTTTTGTCTCTCTTTAAATTATTGTTTTTTCCCTATTTCGTACTGTTTTCAGTTGGAAGGAAGGCAACTAGCGCCAGTTTGGTCTAGTGATGAAGATACGGGCTAGTGGCAAAGAACCAGGCCTGAGTTCTAGTCCCGCTTTAGGCATGAAAACTGGCTGGGTAACTTTGGGCCAGTCACACACACACACAGCCCAATTCACCTCACAGGGTTGTTGTGGGGAAAATAGGAAGCTGTGTTGGAAATGTTCTCCACCCTTGAGTTATGTGCACCTGGGATTGAAATGACTCTGGAATGTTCCATCCCTCCTATGGGCCACATAACTTTGGCTCTTACAAGAAGGAGGTGGTCTGGCAGTTTTTAGAAGTGAATTCTCTGGAATAAACGTAGTTTGGATTCCTGAGCTAAACAGGCTTGTTTCAGGTTTGAGCCATATCCAAAATGCCACAAACCCTATTTGGTTCAACAGATTAACTTCCAGACAACTAGCAGAGCTTTTCCAAAATGGCAGAACCAGTCCAGTTCTTAGGAATGAGAGAGCAGGACGTATCCACCTCTTTCTTTCTGGCAGAAGCTTTTTAAAAAGAAGAGAGGAAAATAAGACGGAGAGGGGTTGAGGGAAAGATACAGCTGGGAAAGAGAGAAACCTTGCTTAGAATCTGGAAATAGGAAATTCTAGGGGGGAAGCAACTCCTCCATTCCTCCCACTCTTCAGTGGCAATTTAGTGAAATAATTTTTATCAGCAGTATGATAGCAATGAAGTATATGAAGTAGCAGATATTTTAAGGAAATTAATAGTGATTGGACTCAGGTACGGAAGCCTTGAAAGTTGAGAAGATTTGGGGGCTAGGACTTTTGAGCTTTAGATTTTTAAAAGTAAATGCAATATTTTTGTGTCATCAAAGTGCATGAGATGCTTCATTAAAATGTATACAAGTCTAGTGAGCCTTGGGGAGACCATTGTCTTGCTTTATATTTGCAAATCTGTTAGATGTGACAAACTGTACATAATACTTTGAAACTCCTAGCTCTTCATATGCAATATCAGTTTAATTCTGCTTGCTTCATAAATGTCATTCGAAATTAAGAAATTTGTAATGCCCATAGGGTTGAAATAAGTAATTATAAAGTTTTGAATGAAAATACATTCAAATGTTTAAATACCTGTTGTCAGGTAGTTCTCAAAAGCAGAAAAATTCTGGCTTGTATGTATATTAATGTGACTTATTGAAGTCATCCATTGTTTCATTTCACACTATGTTGATTTTACAGGCTGCATGGTATGTGGCTTTCTAGAAAAAACAGCAGCTTCATCTTTGTGCCTGCTAAAGCAGAGTTTCTGGGCTACTTACTGGGGATTATTGCTATTCTGTTAAAATAATGACGAGTTGAACAAAGGCAAGTTTTTTCTTGCCTGTCTTTCCCAATTATGAGATACTTCCTCCTCTACTACCCACTTAGCTGTCTACCTACAAAGCACATTATGGTTTCATACACCATCCTGTGTTTAATTTCCATGAAAGTTTGAGTGTAGAATTTTGACTTAGGGTGTTGTGAGAACCCAGCCAATTGTGGTTTATTAAGCAATTTATTCAGTTTACTGTTATTTCTTCCTTCTTGATCAAATGTCATGTTTATGGACAAGAGCATTCACTGGTACATGCAGAGAACTCTATTTTGATATCAAACATCCAAGCAGTTAAGTTAGATTTCAGAGAGAGAGGTCCATTGCATCTTTATTTGAAGGTCTTTTTCTGTCTAGAACAACCATTCTCAAAGCTCAGCATAATCTAAACAGGTTGTGAGAACCTTGGCAACTTTGATTGGGAGGAGGGGAAGGGGGGAATTAGCTTTCCCAGCGTGGCTTTGTGTGCCAAAGGTGAGTCCAGAGTTCCATCTCTGTAGTCAACACTTAGTAGGCATTAGCAGTTGTGTAACATCTATGTATCTGCCTAGCAGGCAATATATATATAGTACTTGGAGTTATGCAAGTCAAGCATTTAGTCCTCGGTGCCCAGTTGGCATGCATAATGAGTTTTCTGGGTATTATGTTAACCTCGGAGAAATATTAAATCACTGGCACATATGACAAGGGAGCACTGAGAAGTTAAGAAGAGAAAGCCCCTTCTTAATCAAGTCCCACCTGGTCCAGTATCTTTTTTTTCAAGATCAAGTACCGTAAATGATTCTGAGAATCACATATAATTCTTTGGTGTCTATCACTTCCCCTGTTGTTGCCAGTTCACCCAGCAATGATACTCAGTAGTACCCCTTCTGATCCTGGAACTCTTTACTATCCTGACTAATGAAATTCATAGAGTAAACTCCATGCCTAATCTAGCTTCTGAAAATCATGTTCTTTCGTAGCCATTGTTTGGCTTGTGGAATTTAATTCCATTAATAATGCATTATATAAAGGCATACTTTTGAGTTATCTGCCAGCTGACTTCGCTGGTCCTGAGATAATTTGTTTTGGAAAGAAAAGAAATAATCCATCATGTAACTTTTTTATTGGCTAGGTGGATACACTGTGCTAAATTATGATTTTTTTAAAATTTATAGCTTGTTTTAAAGGGATAGTTATAATTAGTTTGAAAAGGCACATTAAGCAAAAGAGTAAGGTTTATAAACTGAAGGGACTAAACTTAAGACACTCTACTAAGACCAAAAACCACATAACCCACAAACAAATGGCTTATTTGGATGTGTGCATCTTGCCATCTTTGTCATATAAACTGAAGAAATCTGCAGAGATGTATGCTTTTTGCAATAGGAGAAAATGTCCCAATTTCTAGATGATTTTGGTGAAATTGAGCATCTAGAACTGAATACTGTGGCTAGCAACTTTTCTACTTTCTATAGTCTGGCTATTGCTAGATAGGAACTTCTTATTTTAATCAAGAAACATTCAGTTCTGCTAACCTAAACACATTACCTTTATTAAGACTCCTATTCTTTTTGGAGGCTGATCCATGGCAGATAGCATCTTTTACAAAAATGATTAAAATAATCTACAGTGTACGGGAATTGCAGACCATGCCCATAACAAAATATATTCATATATTATTAAATTTAATTCTTTAAAACAGACATTAACTGGCAATAGAGAAATTTTTTAGCTAGCATCACCTGAAGCTTGGTAGATTAAGTTGTTACAATCATTTGAGTTTCAAATATGTTCTAATTTGTAAACTTTATGTTCCGTTTTTTTATTCTCCCTCTTTGCTGAGAAATACAAACCAATAGATATAACATTATTTGAGATTTGCACATAGTTGATGTATACTATTTTATTCGTGCTGATTATTACAAAGTATTGTTCAACCATGATAACTCTGCAGTCTGCTGAGTAAGAGTTCTTATTATATCAGATTTGGTACTAAAGTTCACTGTGACAGTTATGCTGATTGATTGATTCATTCATTTCAAAGAAAGCCTGGTAACTGAATTGCAAAAGATATCCGTGTGATTTGAAAGAATGCAGAGTTAAGCTCGGAAGTCAAAAGTCCAGTATTGTAATTAATTTAGACTGTGAAAGCATACGTTGCTAGGTTCATCTCCCTCCATCCTGCCCACAGGCCTAATATTTAATCTGATTGAATAAAACCATGTGAAAGTGAATTTAAAGTCTGCAGCATAGCTATTGGCTCTGTCCATATCACAACTTCTTTCTCAAAGTCCTCCAGCTGTGTTAGATTACCCGTCATCTTTGAGCTTTGCTCTTAAGTGATGAGGTAGGAATTAAGAAAAATAATAGTCTAATGTATCTGAAGGAGCACCACCATTGGAGAATCCTCCTCTCAATCTGAGATGGGCTTTGACCCTATAAGTGTTCTGAAATTCATTGTGTAGCCCTGCAGTTCCAAGTATTTGAAGGCTGTTCTGACACTCAAGTGACCTATAGTGTTAGTATAGTCCAGGGGTCAGCAACCTTAAACTCTCAAAGAGCCATTTGGACCTGTTTCCCACAAAAAAGAAAATACCATATGCCACAAATAACCGTAAGCCCCCTGTTCAATTCTGGAGCTGACCGGAAGTTGGCTCCCCCACCATAGTGTCTCCTGCTAGTGCGGTATCCTTTTTCCTCTACCTGCCATAACCAAAAGCCCTATCAATTGTGGAGCCGATTGGAAAACCCACCCTTTGCCATTGAGTCTTCTCCTAGAGCGCTGTGCTTCTCCCCCACCCATACTGGAAGCTCCTCTCAAAATTGTGGCACCGATTGGCGA